TAAGAGCCTGATTTTGTTTTCTCTGTAGTGAATCTATATCACCGTTCTGAAACATATATAATATGGAGGAACAGTAGTTAAGCTAAGGCATGACTATTGTTTTATATATAAGTAGTGACGTCCATGAACTAACTTCGTTTGTTACCCTACACATTAAGTTAACTTTCTTTATAATATACTAAGTGACATATAAATGTGAACACCCAGTTTAAATGGTTTTATTTTAATAAAATTTTGTATAAGTACTTAATGAGGCATAATAAGTAAATGATAAAAATTTCAAAATGATTGCACTGCTTTAAAGCTCTTTGACCTTCAATAATGTGTGGATGCACCCTGATGTGCTACGCATTCTCCAACGCGCCTAGGCATGCTTCTGATCAGGTGGTCAATGTCCTCCTGTGGTATCTCATTCCAGACAACCATCAACTCCTCACGAAGTGCTTCTAGAGTCTGAGGAGGACGTTGCAAATTGAGCAATCTCCTACCCATCATATCCCACATGTGCTCAATTGGGGATAAGTCGGGAGATCTTGGTGGCCATGATAACAATGTGACATCATTATGTTGAAAGAAGTCTATTGTGACTCTTGCAACATTTGGTCGGGCATTATCTTGTTGGAAAGTTGGATCTGCCAGGGTGTCAAGATAGGGTAAAAGATGGGGTTCTAGAACTTCGTGGATATAACGCTGCGCGTTCATGTTACCTCTGATGAAGATTAAAGGTCACCTGGAACCTTAAGCTATAACACCCCAAACCATAACTCCAACAGTGTGATGAACATCTCTTTCAACAAAAAACTGTGGATTCCTACTTTCACCACGTCGCCTTCTAACCCTGGCACGACCATCGTGCATGCCTAAACAAAATTGAGACTCGTCACTAAAGACAATACTGTTCCATTCCTCATCCCAGAGTGACCGTTGTCTGCACCACTCAAGGCGATTACGTCGGTGTTCTCGAGTTAAAGGGAGGACCCAGTGTGGCCGGTATGAAAACAAGCCAAAACTTCTCATTCGTCGGTAAACACTTCGCATGCCAATAGGTCTTCCGTGTTCTGCAAACCATTCATTTTCAATGGACCTGGTAGTGGAGAAACGGTCCCTTAAGGCCAATAATCTTAGGCGGCGATCTTCACGGTCTGTTGTTCTACGGCGGCGTCCAGTGCCCCTTGCTCTTTGCGTACGGCCTTCTCGAAGCCATGCCTGACAACACCTAGCCACAGTGTCTACATTTCTTTGCACTCTAACTGCAATTGCCCGAAAAGAAAGTCCAGCTTCCCGAAGTCCCACTATACGGCCCCTATCAAACTCATTAAGTTGACGAAATTGTACAGGTCTCCGTACTCTAGGTATCGTAACCGATCGTAAAGGATGTCAAGAACCAAAATCCGCCAACGTTGATTCTTCACTGCGCCTGAAATATTCATTTTCAGAGCGTTAGTGAATTAAAAAAAACAGTATAAAAACCGGAATGTCCAACTGATGAGGCTGAAAATTTTTTCACTTGTTATTTACAGTAAGATAAATACATTCACCAGCTTTTATTAAAATAAAACCATTTAAACTGGGTGTTCGGATTTATATGTCATTTAGTATATAAGCTGCATGGCTATTGAATGTTAAATTTGAATCTATCATAACTCCTAAATATTTATACTTTTCAATCTGTTTAGTCTTATTATTTTCAATCATAAATCCGTCGTGCAGATAAGTATCCTGAACTTTGAATTTAGGTTTCAGTATCATACGCTTAGTCTTGTCAACATTAATACTAAGACTATTGTTCCCTAACCAGGCATATAATGTCTTTAAGTCTTCATTAATCATTTTAACCAAATTGTGTATGTTGTCACATTCCATGAACAAAATAGTTCGTCAGCAAACAACTGAATTTTGCAATTTTTTACAGCCTTTACAATATCATTTATATACAGCACGAATAGATCAGGACCCAACACTGTTCCCTGAGGCACACCATGTCTATTTTCTCTTACAGAAGATAAGGAGTTTTTGTACTTTGTTCGCTGAGTTCTTTGTTCCAAATATCCTGAGAACCGTCTCAAAACGTTGCCTTCAAAGCCATATTTTTTTATGAACAAATTTCTATTTATTGTTTCGAATGCTCTGCTAAAGTCGATAAATACAACCCACATAATGACCCACACTCAAAACATTTTTCCGTCCTGAAATAACAGACTGAAGCGCACTCTCACATGAACGGTCCTTCCTAAAAGCAGCTTGGTATTTTGTAGGTAATTTATTTTCTTCTACGAATTGACGCAATTGTTGATTGACAACAGTTTCTAGAAGTTTTTTATATACAGGTACCATATTAATTGGTCTATGCTCTTCACATTTTATTGTTCCACTTACTTTTTCTATAGGGATGACATTTTTCAATCCTGGGGAAAACATCCTGTTTCCATACTGGAATTTATAAGCTGGAGAAAGCGGTTGCCTATGACTTCAGAGGCCAATCTCAAGATTTTGGTACTAATTCCGTTCAGAACGAAGGAGTGATGAGATACTGAACCTACTTATATTTAAAATCTGAAAAACTAAAGTTTAATGGAAACATATGAAATGTATCAAGTGACAATAATTTAATGGAAACATATGAAATGTCTCAAGTGACAATAATTCCCTCAGGCGTACCTCAGGGCTCTGTATTGGGGCCGCTTCTGTTCCTCATATATACGTTCGACTTAAGCAAAAGTATTGATAATTCTCATGTCCAGTCATTTGCAGACGATACGCAATTGCTTCACTATTTTGACCCAGATAATGTCAATAATACTACTCAAATTTTACAAAACGATGTTAATAAATTAATTAAATAGATCACCATCTACTTATTAATCCACAAAAATCTAAAATGTTATTATTTTGCGCACAAAGAAAAACATACAATCTAACGCAGCTCTTGGACATTCAGAGAAATAACCAAATCTTGCAATTTTCTGATTCTGCAAAAATTCTTGGTATTGTTTTTGATACAAAATTAAGGTTTATTGAACATTTTAAAAGTCTATCTCAGAAAACCTACATACGGCTGCGCACTCTTATAGCAAACAGGTATTTACTAAATTTTAGGATGCGTAAAAAACTATGTGAAGCATTGCTCATATCTATACTAAATTATTATAATATATTATACTATACTTGTTTAGGCAATTTCACTTAAAACGTTATTCAAGTTATTCAAAACAATTGTATACGATTCATTTTTGGCTTACGTAAATTTGATCATGTATCGGCGAAATATCCCGTTCTAAACTGGTTAAAAATTAATGACATGGTCAAGTATTACTATTCAGTTTTTGTTCACAAATTGCTGCTCACGTCTAAACCTTATTACTTGAAGGAAACAATTTCATTTAATAATGATGTTCACTGTAGAACTCTCAGAGAAAATAATATTAGAATACTCCTGCATACGTCTACACTTTTTAAACGCAGTTTTTCTTACAATGTTGCTATTATTTATAATGACCTTCCTAAAGTATATAAAGAATTTTCATTACCTGTCTTTCGACAAAAAGTTAAAACATTATTACGCAACCCTCCAAACATATAATTTACGTAATCATTCATTTCTTTTTTATTCCATCTTTAATTCAGATTAATAATTTTTGGTGCATTTGGGTTTGGAAAGTATGCCTTTTTCTCTTTTTTTTAAATTTTACTTTCGATGTAATGAACCAAATCTGTTTGTGGATAGTGTATTCTTTTGAACATCTGCTAGAGACTATATGGTTAAGTGTAAGAGTAGGCCTGTACTAGAATGTAATTGTGGATAAATAAAGACGTCTATTATTATTATTATTATTATATTTCATTTGCTTTTTGATGTGCTGAATATTGCCACTAAGAATTCTAGTAACCGTAACTGATGATGTGAAGCAGTTCTGTATTGCGAGATCGTATTTCATTAACTTACTGGTGGGTGGGTACATTCTTCAGAATGTCACGTTCATTGGTAGATCAACCCTGTACATGCCACAGTCATGCTCTACAAATTCCACTGCTCGGTGATCTAACTTATGGGATTCCAATAATAATCCGAGACAGGCAATTAGGCAAAAAGAAGACTGCTTCGCGATCCTCCCTGCTGTACCGATGCTTCTGCCGCATATATACGTACATCTCTGCAGAAATTGCGCTGCGTTCTGCCCGGACTCCGCATTTATTATTTATCAATGCTCCAAGTCCGAGGCTCGTTTTTCAAATAACACAGCTCGGTATGCCTCCGGTTACACACCCCTCACCCCGCAACCCCTGAGCTAGTTTTTATTGTAGTCTGCAATTACTGGATCTATATCAAATATACAGGGCGGTCCTGCGCCGGATATTTGCGAAGTCAATTTGAGAGAGAGACCCTGCAACACGCTTTTGCGTTTTTGCTCATTGTGACATTTATTTAGGACGCCGAGATACATATTTCACAAATTAAAAACATTATGAGCAGTAAGATGACATACCATCTCCATTCGGAAAGGAAAAAACAATATTTCTTTACAGAAGTTAAAGGTAAAAATACAGGGTGGCGCATCGAAAACGAAACAGACGCATTTACTGGCAGCTCAGTTTTTTTTGGAAAAACGCTCAGACCCGTCGATTTTGTTTTCGAGGGGGACACTAGATTGGCAAAAAATCACGTTAACACGTGTAGCCCCCTGGGCGGGGGTGACCCCAACCCTGAAATCTTAAATGGAAAGGGGGTCGAGTGATACCTTATTTTAAAGGTCTTTAAATTTCCTTTATAATGATGTAAAATGCATGAGCCTCAGTTCAGTACTTTTTAAGATTTATTGATTTAAAGCTTAAAGTAGACTTTAATAGGTAGGGGAGACCGAGGAGGGTTGAAACATAGGTAAGTTGAAACAACAGAATTTTTGTGGAAACCAAAGACGTTATGGAGCTGGCAACAACGCTCTTTTGCCATCTGCTGCCACCTGCACACAAGTGAAGGTTTCGTTACCGCTCTCCAGTCCACGCTTACATCGTTATCAAATGTGATGTGAAAAATTTAACAAAAGTAAGTTTTTGTCATATTTTAACTTTATCAATATTTGGATTTATATACTGTTTTATTACAATGTGTTGTATGTTTTCTGAAAGCTTAATCATTCAAGATTCAGTCTGTAGCAATGTTTTTGTAACACTGTATTGCACAACGAGGTAACACCGGCTCAACCATAATGGCGGCAGATTTTTGTACTCCAGGAGAGTTGAAACAGCCTGTTTCAACTTACCTCGTTTGCGTTCAATTTTGCAATTGACTTTTTAGATACGTTTTTGAATTTTATCAGTATGCCTGAAGTCTGTCTTATGCTCTTTTTGTTTTAGGATGCCGAACGAATACAAGCGAAAGACGAATCGGGGTATGGCAAGCAAAGAAATTTACGAACTGGCTTCCGAAGAAGTGATGCTACGTAATAAATCTCTTCGTGATGCTGCCACAAGTTATGATATAAACCATACGTCGCTTTACAGATACATTAAAAACAAGCGTATGAGAGCAATAAGACCATCCAACCACCCTCAATTGGATATCATCGCCCCACAGTGTTTACCAAAGAGGAAGAAAAATCATTGTGTGAATACTTTTGACCTGCTCTGATGCCAATTTTGGGTTGAGTACAAAAAGTGCCCTTCTTCTTGGATGCAAACCAAAATGGCTGGTGAAGTTTGGCTCAGATTGTTCATGAAACGCCACGAAGTTTGGTCTTTCAATAGAACCAACGTGGAACTATTTTTAAAAAATTATTGTTCGATACTTGACAAATATCATATGGAAGCAAAAGACATCTGGAATGTTGATGAAACAGGCATAACTACTGTCCAAAAGCCTGATCGTGTTATTGCACGACGAGGTCAAAAGCAAGTCAGCGCCATGACGTCTGCAGAAAGAGGTAGTTTAGTCACTCTAGCATTAGCTGGCAATGATATAGGTATTGCATTCCACCAATGTTCATATTTCCCCGTAAGCGTTTTAACGACCACTTTATTCGTGATGGTCCAAGTAGGTCCATTGGAACAGCCAATGGTTCTGGATGGATGCAAGAAGATGATTTTTATTGCATTATAGAGCACTTCAAGAATCATGTCCGATCTTCCAAAGAAAATCCGGTTTTGTTATTACTAGATAATCATGCTTCGCATACCTCTGTCAAAAACATCAACTTTTGCAAGGAAAATGGAATCGCTCTGTTGACGTTTCCCCCAGATTGCACGCACAAACTTCAGCCTATGGACCGAGCTATCTTTGGCCCTGTAAAAAAAGCAATCAATACAACATGCGATAACTGGATGCGTTCACACCCAGGAAAAGTAATTACAATATATGACATTCCAGGAATTGTCAAAACTGCCTTTGATATAGCAGTCACCATAACAAATGTAACTGCAGGATTCCGGACGACCGGGATATGGCCATTGAACACTGAAATATTTCGTGAAGAGGAGTTTTTGCCCAGTCAGGTGACCGATCGAGCACTGCCACCAACAGTACTTGTACATGAAGATTCCGTTGTTCAAACTGATGATCCTGAAATTCCAAGGACCAGCAGAGAAGCCGAACGAACTCCAAGCCCACCGATCAATGATTCACTCTATTATAATCACACTGTTTCTAATACTAATGCAAATGCAGAAGTATCATGCACTTCCACAATTTTGTCTTCAAATCAAGACGATGCTCCTACCCCTGATTCACTTTATCCTGTGCCATCAACTTCGAAGGTATCTATTACGTCGGCAGCCATTAGTGAAGTTTCTTCAACTTCAAATACATCTACTGTAACTACTGCAGTCAGTCTATTTTCTCCGGAAGCAATAAGACCTCTACCGCAGGCAGAGGCTAGGAAGAATACGCAAAAAAGGAGAAAGATAAAGTCAGCTATATTAACTGACACTCCTGAAAAAAAGGAGCTAGAAGCCATTGAAGCTAGGAGAAACACCAAAAAAGTAAAAAGACCTGCGTTAAACCTAGAAAATAAAACTAAGAAGTCCGTTAGCAAAACAAGGAGGAATTGTAAGAATAAAGGAAAAATAAGTGAGAAAGAAAGTAGTGACAGTGACGATGGTGACTGCTTCTGCGTAGTTTGTATGGAGTCGTTTTCCCAAAGTGTCCCAAAGGAAGAATGGATTCAATGTATAGAATGCAAGTCATGGGCTCATTTGGCCTGTACAGAAGGCGACTTATTCTACGTGTGCCATAATTGCTTCTCTGAATAGGATTTTCTTTGTTATTTGTTGCGCTTATAATTCTTTTTTATTTTATATTTTATGTTGTTTTTTATTTTAAGATCTCAATGTTGTCATCACTGACAAATAAGGTACATTTTCGTTCCGTAACTTCAATATATTACTAATTCATAAGCTACTTTCCTAAAAAAAGAAACCTTCCAAATACTTGTGTTCCAACTCTCCTAGGTCAGCGTTTCAATTTACCTCAGCAGAGGAGAATTGCAACAAAATTAATGGTCGACTTATAATCGATTTTTTTTGAAAATGAAGTAGACCGTGACGTATTTTATTTTGATTATTCATTAGCCAAGTAAGCAAGATTTCATATGGTATATTAAACTTTGTAGGCTACCACTTATTTATGAAGTTATGTGCCATTATGTGAAAATTGTTTCAACTCTCCTCGGTCTCCCCTACATCAGATTAGTTTGCACTACTTTCAGAAGAAATTTGACTAAAAGAATTTACTCAATAAGTAAATGCTATTCTTCACTACGCCCATGGTTTGTTTATCATTTTGTTGTTGAAAATAGCTATTAGAGCGTTTATTTTAAATGGGAATTTAGTACATAGTTTGCGATTGATTTGACCAAACTTTGTTGCTAAAATAACTTGTAACGCTTTATTACAGAAATTGACCATGGTATATTCCACAGCAGAAAGAGTTGAAATTATCGAAATATTTTTCGGAAATAATCAGTGCGCTAATAGAACAGCAGAAATATTTAATGAGCGACATAAGAACAGTAACGTGCATCGAAAATATGTTCTACTCGTAGAACTTGTAGGTAAATTTCGGGAAACTGGGTCAGTCGTCAATAAAAAACGCAACATTGAAAATCCCATAAGGAGCTAAGCAATTGAAGTGGGGGTTTTAGGGCAAGTCTATGTAGATACTACGTTAAGTACCCGCAAATTGGAGACTGGGTGTGGTGTTAGTCGACGTACTGTCCAACGGATTCTAAAGGCCCATAGTTTTCATCCGTATAAAATTCACCTGGTACAAGAACTTAATGAAGACGATTTTGATCGGCGATTACAATTTTGTGAAGATATGAGTTAACGAATTATAAACGATAAACATTTTCTATTCAACACTTCTTTTCCGACGAATGTTCCTTTTTTCTAATCCCAGAATTTATCATGAGGTTCATACACAGCAGCCACAAAAATTAAATGTTTGGACTGGTATTTTTGGCGTTCATTTAGTTGGACCTTTTTTCTTACCTGGAAACTTGACCGGTGAAATGTATTTGGAATTACTGGAAGACGCCATATATCCTGCATTAACAGCCATAATTGAAAATCAGAATGATCGGCGGTACATTGCGAATAGGTTGATGTTCCAACAGGATGGTGCCCCACTACATTACGCATTACGTGTTCGACAATATTTAGATCAGACGTTTTCAGATCAATCGATTGGTAGAAGAGGTTCAATTGAATGGCCCCCAAGATCGCCAAATTTATCACCTTTCGATGTCTTTATGTGGGATCATTTAACAAGCAAGATCTATGCTACACAGCCAACATCATTAGAAGACCTGCGACAAAGAATTGTGAATGAGTGCCTTCAAATTACTCCTCAAATATTGCAAAATGTGCGGCAATGTTTTGAGCAAAATCTTTATTATTGCATGGAGAGTCATGGTGGCCTAACGGGTCAGTTCATTCTTCATTTTTAAATTACTTTGCTGAAAAATATATTGATCTCCAGTAATGATGATGTGTTAGTTTTATTTAAGCTTTAAATCAATAAATCTTCAAAACTACTGAACTGAAGTACATTAATTTTATATCATTATAAAGGGAATTGAAAGACCTTAAAATAAGGTATCACTCGACTCCCCTTTCTATTTAAGATTTTGGGGGTTCTGTCACCCCCGCTTAGGGGACGGCACGTGCTAACGTGATTTTTTGCCAAACTTGTGCCCCCCTCGAAAACAAAATCGACGGGTCTGAGCGTTTTTCAAAAAAAAACTGAGCTGCCAGTAAATGCGTCTGTTTCGTTTTCGATGCACCACCCTGTATATGTTTGATATGAAATACATCTGTTTCCGTTGCTACAAAAGGGCTCTATAAAACTGTATATTCGAATTTTGAAAAATAATTCCCATTACGTTATGCCACCAGAACGGAAATATGAAACAATTAAAAAATCAGTTTATTGGGCAACATGCAATGTTTTTAAAAACAATCGACAAAAGTACGGCTGCAACTGAAGCATCATACCTGGTGTCCCAAATAATTATACAAAAAAAGAAACCTTATGAAGACGGGGAAATGATAAAACAGGCGTTTTTAGAAGCTGCAGATTCATTATTCGCACTTTAGAGATAAAGATGAGATAGTGTCTGCTATAAAAATCTATGCTACTTTCTGCTAATACAGTGCTAATCCACAAATGTCGTTGACATGTCTCAGATAACCGTGTTCGTCAGAATGGTTTCTAGTGATTTTACGATTAAAGGAGATCTTTTGAAGTTTATTCCAGACTTCTGGGCAGGACTTGTTTTCTTCTTTAAAAACATTATTTCTTCTGAAAAAATTTCAGTAACGAAAATGTTCACTGCATTTTCCATCAGCAAGCATTAGGGGGACATTTTCTAAAACAACTTATGAAATTGGTAGTGAAAATTGCGAACAAGATTAGAGCTCAAGCGTTACAAAGAAGATTCTTCAAAACCTTGGCTGATGAAATTGGCTGTCAATACGGGGAAGTGCTTCTTCACTCTGAAGTCCGTTGGTTAAGTAGGGGATGAGCGCTAAAACGTTTTAATGATATTATATCTGCCACAGTTCAATTTTTTAAACAACGTAATGAACCGATTCCTGAACTGGAAAATTCAATCTGACTTAGAGATTTTGGTTTTCTTGTGGATATTCCAGAAAAAATAAATGAACTCAATTTGCATCTTCAGGGGAGAGAGCAAGGCCTAGCAGAAATGATTTCTTATATAAAAGCGTTTATCAAAAAGCTTAAGTCCATTAGAACCATATGACAGTAAATGTCATGCAGAAATAGTCTCTAACTTAGAGGATAACTTCAAAAATCGTTTCAATCATTTCAACGAAATTGCTATAGTCGCCCAATTTGTTGTTTCACTCATCTTGGAAATTGTTATCCAACAGTTTGCAACTTCTTTTACGCAGAATTTTAGCGAAAACATCGCTGCGACCGAAATGGAAGAGATTCCTTTTCAAAATGATTTAGCTTTGAAATCATTAGTTTCAGATACAAAATGTTAGTATCTGTCCTTCAGTAAGTAAAGATAAATATTCAGTTCTATGTCGTGTTGCCTTGACAGTGAACGCGTTATTTAGTTCAACCTATTTGTGTGAATCTTCTTTTTCAGATATGAAGTTTATTAAAAACAAATATCGCAATCGACTTACG